TAGAATTATATTTTCTTGAAATGCAACACAGGAGATCATCTGTATTTAGTCTTTTTAGACTATCTTCTTAGACTACCTTCTCACAGTCGTATGTTTTTTCTTTTGATTTTTTCAGAAAAGGTTGATTTTGCTGCGTTCGAAATTCAAAGTTTTAATTGCTCTTTCCTGGTGTTTTTTTTTAATTGCCTTTTATTAATCGTCTTTTGCTAACTTCTTCTTTTTTGGCATTACTGTAAAATACTGAATGATGTAGCCAATTAAAAATATATGGATTTTTAGCACAAAAAAAAAAGGAAAGCAGATATTAAGTCAGCAGCGTAGCAGTTGCAAATAATGCGAATAAAAATTATTATTGCAGAGATAAATAAAAATAACAATGAAAAAAGAGGAGAAAAGTTGTCCGCATTCAAAGGTCGTCCGTCGTTTTATAGAAGTTGAAATGTCGCCTAAATATGCTAATTATTATTTATCGAATTTTCTGAATGATTTAACGAGCATCGCAGCGATTAAACAGAAAAACAGAACTTTAATTAGCACATTATAGAATTTCGATTAATTATTTATTTTTGAAAAGAATTTCTTTTATTTCTTTTTAATTTATTAACTTTTTCTTCAAATATTGATAATTTTTTAAGAATTCTTAGTAAAAGCGTTTCTGTTGGAAACAGAAAGTTGTATTGATAGAAGTGAAAATGATATTTTAGTGCTGCTGTCATTGTCCGCTTTACAGAAAGTTTTCTTGCAAACAGCTTATTTATTAAAAAAAATTTTTGGTGGAAACAGCTGCCTGCTGAACTCTGTAATAACTACTGAATACTTTTGATTAGACTGCTTTTATCTTGCATACGTAATTAGCTCGTTTTCACTTCAACTCGGTTCATTTTTTTATATTTCTTTTTTGTTGTTTCATGGTTAGAAATTTACATCGTGTACAGATGTAAGAGTTTTATACTCAGTTTTGTTTTCACCACGGATTTTTGCCTTTTTTTTTTTTGTTGTTGTTTTAAGAATTAGTTTCAAAACAAACTAATAGCAGATGGTTATATGCTATTGCACATTAACATATGGATTGACTGCAGTAAGATCAACTTGTGCATTGGTGATCACTGATAAAACAGTCGACTTATCAGTGGAATATCTTTTTGTCTATTTGTTACCTTAAATTTTTCGATGTTTTAACGCAATTTATTATCAGATTGGTTAAAAACAATTAGGTTAATAAATTTTGCACTTACAAACGTAGAAAAAAGTGGGCTAGAAGATTGAGACAATTATTATACGGTACCTAGGTTTAAATAAAATGAGGGTTTATCAGTTTTAAAATTATTCCGAACTATGTGATGCTAAAATAGTGTAGATTTTTTTAGATGTGGTCGGAATTGGGCTAAAAATTTAACTTGATTTAATAATTTTTGCTGAAGTGTTGCTATTGTTGACAGAGAAAGTTTTCTGCTTTCTGCTTCTATTTTTATCTCAATGATTGGTTGCCAGTGATAAGAAATTTTACTTTTTGTAATAGTTGTTTACTAATTTTTTACGCATACAGTGCATAAAATTATTTGCCATTTAATATCAAATTGATCAAACAATTATTTCAGAGATCAGTTACCAACAGATAATCGCATCCCCTTATGTGCTTTAAAAGGCTTTATTGCGGAAACCTGACATATGTGGAATTGGTTTTAAAACATTGGAATTTTGAGGCTTTTTGTTAGCACAAATATGATGATGAAAAAATCGAACTGGTAATGAATTGGTACCCGAATAATTTTTTTTTTTTGAAATCCAGGCGATGTTTTAGTCACAAATTGTAAAGCTTAATATCAAAATTCGCTTTGGTAACAGCAACAGTCACCGTGAAGAAGTTGCATTCGGTATGCAAATAGATAAATCTTTAAAAAAAAATTTTTTTTTGACTAGAAACAGAAGTTCTTTTCGAGGACAATTTGATTGTTTGCATTGGGATTACGGATCTCCTTTTGTTTTGTTTTTGTTAGCTGAATAAACCTTAAAGTTAAAACTTTATAAGTGATTTTCTGCATAATTATTTTGTTCCATAAAAAGAATGTTTACAAGTTATGTTTTCAAAAATAAAAACTACATTGAAACAAAAATATTGCCATTCTTTTCAGAACGGATACATATGTCACAGTGAATTAAAAGGCAATTTTTTAAGTTTGCTCTGCAATAATTCAAAATTTTAGAAGAGCAAAAAAAAAACGAGGAAGAAAAAAATGATGCTGATGATTTTCATCACAGGAAAAACACAGTAAAATGCAAGGAGCACCTGCTTTTTTTTTTTTTTTCAAGCAGATATAAAAATGTCGGAAAATAGGACAATAAAACACTGTGATTCATCAGAAAATAAAAGCAAAACAAAGAGAAAAAAAAAAAGGGGTGCTGAATGCGCTTTTAAATCGCAAAAAAAATTCTTAAAATTTACAGCATTCAACTTCATGACACTGATTGTCTTCAGAAAATATTACTGCACGTAACTGTAACTGCTGCTTTATGAAAAGTATAAAATCATACAAAAAAAGTATAGGTTATTTTAACTTTCTTTCATTTTGAATCAAATGATACAACTGTTGTTCAGAAAGAATGACTTCTATAAAAATTGAATAAGATTTATTCTGTTTCTGCGTTTTTTTTGCAATAGAAAACAAAGAATAAAATGACAAAACAGTTGTATAGTAAAAAGAAACTTACCTTAATTATAAGATTAAATGGCAAGGAAAAAAAATTCAGTGGATACTACTAAAGGAAGAAAATATAGAGGTGAAAAAATTTGTATTAATTATTTTTGTTCAAAAAGAGTCTTTTTAAAAGTTGGTTGCTGTTTGTAGCTATCAAATACGCAGTTTCAAAACTGCTTACCTGTACATTAGCTTAATTTTTTAACTATCGTTGTAGAATCAGTAAAAAAAAAGCAAGTGGAAAAAGATTACCTTAACTTTTGTTATACGGAGCAGAACTGTAGTTGGAATTCAAAGTGATGGTGCTGCTGGTGTTGTCAAATGTTATGCTATAAATTACTATGTTGAATCATTTATTGTTTTTAAAATTAATCAACAACATTCTAATGTATTGCTTAAGAACAACGTTTTACATATGTACATTTTGTTTTTCTTTTCTGTGCACTTAAAACAATTGAGTACGAAAAATTTTGGCAATAAATAAGAAGCATGACAAAAAAAAAAAAAACGTAATTATTTGCTGAGAGACCTGAGTATTTGGAATAAATATATTTTACAATTTTGAAAATACTGCTCACTAATGCAAATTTTTTGTTGCTGTAGAAAAGGAAAAAAAAAACAAGAAGAACAGTTTAAATTTGATTTTGCTTTTATTTTAGAAGTCGAAAAAAATATATATACTAAACAATTGATGATTTCTAACAGTTTTAAGCTATATTTTTGGGTGAGCATTTCCTCTGAAAAAAAGTCTAAAAATAAATAGGCATTTAATTTATCACACAATCCATTTAGCACTAAGTTTGCTAAGTTTTTCACGGTAAGAAAAAAACTTCTTCACACGATACAATGTTTTCATGTAATTATAGTTTTAAAAGTTTTTTTTTATTTTATTTATTCATTTTTTTTTTGCATTTTTCCAAGAGATTAGTTTTTTTTTTTCTAATAATGCACCTAATATCTGTCGTTTCTTATGGTACAACTGCTGCTGCAGTTGATCAGTTTCATTGTTAGTCATCTTTGTTTTATTAATGTCATCTCTGTCATTTAATCTCTCGTTTCCAGATTTTAACTGATTGTTGGTATCAGTTTGAAGAAGCTTAATTATTTCAAAAAGTGAAAATTTTTTCTCAAAGTGAATAAACTGATTATTTCTATTGAAATCGCAAAAAAAAAAACTGGAAAGAACATACTTTTTTCAACGTTAGTAAAAAGAGTAAGAGAAAGAGTACAAAACAAAACAAAATAGAATAAAAAAGCTCTAGCAACTCACTGCCGAAAGACTGTAACCGTTGAAAAAAGTATTACTTTGAATAAAAAGGAGCAGAATCGCTTTTTGCGACTAAAGTTTGTTCGTTTTGAATTAAAACCCAAAAGACGGCAGGTTACATATACAACAACTGTTATGAGATCTGTGTTTAGTTACGTACTGATACTGATAATGATAACCAAATTTTTAATGTACGATGTGTCTAGCTGTTTGATATTAAAGGTGCAGGGTTATCTGGTGCCGGAGAAGTCAACTGCACAGTTGTTGAGTTGGAGCATTAAAGTAATATCTCATCAGAACAAGACGACATCCTCTCATCATCATCGTTTACTTCTTCGGTTTCTGAAGTAGATATGATGACTGCAGCTGTTAGTTGATGACAATTATCTGTTTATCTAATCAGCCAATTTTATTTTTTCCACAAAGCAGAAAGAGAGAGAAAGTAGGTGAGAAAAGGTTGTTGAATGCTGAAGCACTGAAACTGTTCAAAAAAGCACTCAGTAAAACCTACCGTTATGCAGTTCAGCTTTTGTTGTTGTCACTTGACTCAAAGAATTTTCTGAATATTTCATAATCCGTTTGTTAGAATTTGGTTGCTCATCAGCAAAACTTGTACTTTTCGCATTTTTACGTTGCCTTAATAGCTCTTTACACTCTTTTGTTGTTTCTTCAATCTAAAAGAACAAAATATGGAAAAAACTACTTCCAACAACAAAAAATACCATAGCTAACAACAGTAGAGTGCACCATATGCAGGATGAACCTCAACTGTTCAACAATTTTTAGTGGACTTATTCGTAATATGATGTTTTACTGAAGACTTATTTTCTGAATCATTCAGGTGGTAAAAAGTTGGAGTAAAAAAAAAGGCAAGTTTTCTTATTAACTTGACAATCATTAGAGGTTATATGAAAAAAAAAACAGTGGATTCAATAAGCAGTAGTTGGAAAAAACGCAGTTTATGATATCCATGTTCAGTTCGATGAAAACTTCATTTAAGCTTTTAAAAAGACAGTTTAGAGAATTCATGATGAAAATCAAAGTTTGAAAATAAATACCTTTTTTAAAAGTTCAGCATTTTCAGTTGCCAACTGTTCCATTCGTTTTCGCTCAGCTTTCGTCAGGTGACTGAAGAACTTAGATTCCGGTTTGTCAATGTCATCAGAGCTGTCGTCAGGTGTTGAATGTAGATGAATTATCTTTGGGATAAATATAAGCCCAAGTGTAATGTATGTACATAATAAAACTGAAAAAGATAAAGTATGATGATTTGAGCAGTTGATCACATTTATCACAAATTTGCCACTGTTAGGCAAGGAAAGAAAGATGAAACAACAAGAAAAAAAAACAATAGCGAAAGATTGCTTAATGTTGCTAAAACTTCAAAAAAAAAAAAAAAAAAAAAAAAAAAAAAA